CACCCTGCCCCTGACAGCCCCCCCCAGAACTCCCAAACACACCCCCTGCTCCTTGTCCCCTGACTGCCCCCTCCTGGGACCCCTGTTCCTAACTGCCCTTCAGAACCCCACCCCTACCTAAGCCTCCCTGTGCCTTGTCCCCTAACTGCCCCCTCCTGAGACACCTCCACACCCTAACTGCCCCCCTAGGACCTTACCCCCTACCTGTACCCTGACTGCCCAAAACCTTATCCCCACCCCCAGAAAGCCCCCCCTGAACTCCCGACCCCCCCTGCTCCCTGTCTCTTGACTGCCCCCTCCAGAACCTCCCTGCCCCTTCTCCGACCCCCTTACCCTGGCACTCAGACCAGTGTGGCGGGGAGGAGGAGCAGGGGGAGGAGCTCCAGACTGCCGGTGCGAATGGCCAGCTGGTGATCTGCAAATGCAGGGAGGGAGGGAGGAAGTGATCTCAGCTGCAGGGGAGAGGAGGAGGGGCTCTCTCGGGCTGTCGGAGCCCCATGTAAGTGGCACCATCTGGCCAGCTGCCCTGTCAGCAGCGCGCGCTCTGCATGGGGGGGGGGCGGAAGTCCAGACATTTACAGATTCCCCCCGGACTCTATTTTTAACTCTAAAAGCCAGACATGTCCAGGGGAATCCAGACGAATGGTAACCCTATACTGGAGCACCATTTTGCTTGCAGTAGTTAGTTTTCAGGCTAATATTGAAATACTTCATATAAGCAATTACACCAAGAGGGATGCAAAAAGTGTTATCCATTACAGACGTGCTTCTGTATCAAAACAAGTCCAAGAGTCTTTGATCTGTGGCAAGGTGCTGGGTTAGGGCTGGGGACCTTTTCTGATGCATATGCTTTTGCTGCACACCAAGGCCTTGTCTACACTAAAGGGAAAAGTCGATCTAAGCTACGCAATTTGAGTTACATGAATAGCGTAACTCAAATCAACATAGCTTAGATCTACTTATCACGTGGTCCACACTATGTGGTGTTGACAGGAGACGCTCTCCTGTCCACTCCCCTTACTCTTCTCAATCAGGTGGAATACAGGAGTTGATAGGAGCTATTGGCGGTCGATTTAGTGGGTCTTCATGAGACCTGCTAAATCAACTGCCGATGCATTGATCGCCGCAGCATTGATCCTCCTGTAAGTGTGGACAGGCACTTAGAGACAAGAATTTACATACCCCTGTATGCAGAAGAGTTTTGTATTAACACTGTTAGGGGCCTGCCTAGTTCTCACTACACATTGCATTGGGGAAGATCTAGAATAGTTCTACTTAGACTTGTAGACTTTAAGGTCAGAAGGGATCATTATGATCTTCTAGTCTGATGTCCTGCAAAACGCAGGCCACATAATCTTACCCACCCACTCCAGTAACAAACCCTGACCTATGTCTGAGCTATTGAAGTCCTCAACTTGTGGTTTAAAGACTTCAAGGTGCAGAGAATCCTCCAGCAAGTGACCCGTGCCCCACACTGCAGAGGAAGGGCCTCTGTCAATCAGCCCCAGAGGAAAATTCCTTCCTGACCCCAAATACTGTGATCAGCAAGACTCACCAGCCAGACACCCAGGAAAGAATTCTCTGTAGTAACTCAAATCCCACCCCATCTAACATCCCATCACAGGCCATTGGGCATATTTACCACTAATAGTCAAAGATCAATTAATTGCCAAAATTAGGCTATCCCATCATACCATCCCTTCCATAAACTTATCAAGCTTAGTCTTGAAGCCAGATGTGTCTTTTGCCTCCACTGCTCCCCTTGGAAGGCTATTGCAGAACTTCACTTCTCTGATGGCTAGAAACCTTCATCTAATTTCAAGTCTAAACTTCCTGATGGCCAGTTTATACGTGATCAAGGTAGATCTGGTGACTACCTTTCTTCTATTCAAAATCTTCAAGGGATTTGGGGGCAGCAGGGAGGAGAAGGGAAGGTAAGTTGCGTCCCAGTGGTAAACTCTCTTTGAAGTGCAGGTACGCTGCTTGGGGAACAAGAGCGAGGCGATACTGGGAAATGGGCGACGTCTGAGCCCAGGGTTGATAACTGGGAGTAGAAGGTTGTGGAACTAGGGCCAGGATGCTGCTAATGAATTGGGAGGTGATAAGGCTTACTTGTACATGGCAGTTCTACTGGGGGAGAGGGGAGGGGAACCGGAGAAAAGGTGTAGTGGTGATATATACAGATGGAATAAAATTTCCTCAGGAGTCTTGGGCAATACAGCATTCACCTGAATATTTCTTTCAACTGTTGAGGGAAATGGGCAATCAATGGATTCTCCAAAGGCCACTCTAGCTCCTATAATGTCTCCAGGAGTGATGGCTTCAGATAATATATAAAACTAGTTGAAATTCTGGAAAGAGTAATTAAAATACAAAAATGAGGTTGGAGGAAGGGGGTATTGTTCTTGTCACATGGCAAGAAAGCCCTTTTCCACTCCTCTATTAAGCAATAGCGGAAAGGCAAGTCAGTCTCTCAGTTGTCCTGAGGACAATTTGGGGTGCAGGTGGGGGAAGAAAACGAACAGACAGTAATGTACATTTTCTTACCCAATAATTTCCTTTCTGCTAACAGCATCTCCTACAGTTCTGTTACATCTGACATCAAAATTGTGCCACAGTTTCTCAGTTGGATGCAGTACCCTTGGGCAAAATGAGGGAAAGATAACGTCCTGGGAAACAAGAAAAGGGGAGTTCACTTTGGGGAGAAATGTCTGTGGCGTTCTCAGCACCACCTTATCATGGAACATGCAGTAAGTTTCCTGCATAAATAAGGCTGCCACCTGGTATTCTCACCTAGCAGACCTAATGACCACCAACAAACAGGTTTTGATGGAGAGATGGAATGCTGATACTGAAGTCAGAGGGTTGAAGCGGTGAGCTATTAGGGCTTTCAACACCAGTGGTATGTCCCATTTTGGGAAGACTGACCTGACCACCAGTTTGGCCAATTTCACTGCTCTTGAACCTGGGTACTTGGGGGTTCTTTGCCAAGGAACAAGGATCCTGCTACTAGAATGCTACTAACAGTGGATATCTGGCTGAAGATCTTTGTCCATGCCTTCTTGGTGAAAGTCTGAAATAGCTGGGACCCCTGCACCTTACTGCAGTGTGCTCCTGGCACCAGACACTGACCGTGCCCAGATGGAGGAGTAGGCTTCTAGTGCAGAGACTCCCCTGGATGAGAGCAAAATGTCTTATGACTGGAATGGAGGCAGTGTGTTGCTAACACTTCTTTTTCAATAGCCAGGCTGATAGTTGCCATTGGTCTGGAAGGAGAAGAGGACCCTGGAAAAGAATGTCTGGTCTCACTAGTAGCTATAATGTTGGTTCCAGTTTCAGCTCTCTTGGGTCAGAAAACCAGGGTCTCCTTGACCAGTGCGGGATTATCACTGCTTGTTCCCACTTTGTCTGGATACCTATCCTTCCCTTTGCTAGGGAAAGTATGTGTATAGCAGGCCTTAGGGCCATTTGTGTGACGGGGCATCTGTTTTCCTGGTGTAGTTCTTTGGACTTTTTGCATTCCTTTCTATTTGCTAACAGGTCGGCTGACAGCAGACCGAACCTCTGTAAGATCAGGTTAAAAACTTCTTGGTTCAGACATGATTCCAAGTTTTTGACTTTCCATCTGCTCAGCCAATCCACTTTCTGGTTCAGCTCTCCTTTTATGTGAAGTACTCTTAAGGAAGAAAGAGACTGTTCTGCACATCTGATTATGTCCATTGCTTCTACATGTAGCATCAGGCTCCTTGTCCCTCCTTGGTTGCTTATGTATGTGACGCTGGTCATGTTGTCAGACTGAACTAAGATGTGATTTCCCTGTGGCTCTGGACCCTCCATAGTGCCAGTTTAACAGCTCTCAATGCCAGGAGATTGGAGCCTTGGGAAGAGGAAACACAGCATCGGATTCCTTGTGGTGTTTCAGGTCCCCAATCTGTCAGCTGGCATTGCTTTCAAGAAGTAGAGGGTCTGGAAGGTCTATAGGGAGGTCCTTGTGGACATACTCAGGACTGTGCACCATCTTAAGGAGAAAAGCACCTGATTTGGGACCAGCACCTGATCTGTCATGCACTTGGGGAGTGGTCCCATATTTTGAGCAGGCAAGCCTGGACACATCTGAGATGTGACCTTGTTGATGGAGTGATCCCCATGCATGATGCCAGGAGGCCCAGGAGCTGAAGACACCGAGCTATGATATCATGCATTTGCACAATATGGATGAGAGATTCTGGATCTCCTGGAACCTGTCAAGTGATGGGTAGATCTTCATCACCACAGTGCCCATGGCCACTCC